TTTAAGCAGGGTCCTCAACACCCTCTATTACTGTGCGTCCAACTCGTCTTGTTGCAAATACTTGTTTGGTAGTCCACCTATTGTACAGCACTGAGGAGTTTGTTCTAACAATAACAATGAAGACTGACTTCTATAAACAAGAAGAAAATTGTACTATATATATATATTCATTAATTAATTTGTTTTGTTTAAGTAATTTGGAAGTATTCTTTGATGATAAAATTGTGATTTTTATTTTATTTGACTTTCAACTTATGGTATTTACTTTTTAAGCTCTAACATGTATAATATATAATATATTTTTCTTTACTTCTATTTTTAGCCAAGTACGTAAGGTAGTAAGTATTTACTTGTAAGATTAATGCTATAATTGCAAGATCTTGCTTCTTGACAACTCTTGATTAGATGAGTGAAAAGATATTTCTCACACATAAAAGTTATAAATAAACTTCCCTACGTCGCCATTGATATTTAGATAGAAATTTTTTTAAATTTTTGTTTAAAATTGTTTATTTTCACAAACTGACAGACAGAAATCTTAATACAAAAGAAGTTGCAGTTACAATTAGGTTAAATAGAGTCCACATTCAACATCTTAGCAATTAGTTAGTACACAAATTACCCCACTGTTTGACAGAAAGTCTACAAAAAGACATAATGAACAGTAAATGCACTGTTGGCAAGATTTTATGGTGTCGTATAACAGTGATAGGAACAATTATAGAAACCGAGAAGATAAAGGGAAAGAAATTCCCTAGGGTGTGAAATCCTATCGCCTTTAGTAAGCGATACCCGATTGTACTACTTATGCCATCACTGTTAATGGTACCCACTAGAGGTATGTCAAAGCAGAGCCACAAACATGCACTAGAACGGTGAAGAGGAACATTTTAAAAATACCAATGAAACTAGGTAATGGCATATCCTGGAATTAAATTGAGTTTTAGGAATATGCATATATCCCTTGGCATCCAAGCACTTTTACAGCCTTTGTTCTGTCATCCTGTGCATAACTGCTGCAGCTATATGCCCTCCCCTATTCCAATAATTTTTCTCTGCCAGCCCAAGTACTTGTATAGCATGCACCTTGGACACATGTCAAGCTTTACATTCCACCGACACAAACAGGCTCCTTCACACCTTACTGAGCCGTGATTAATTCTGATCGCTCCACTAACAAAACTGTAAATGCAGTGCATCTGCTATCAGCTTAGGTGGAAAAATTCAATCTTATTTGTTGAAATGAATTGTCACCATCTGCTTCAAAGGTGAGTATATTTTTTATTGTAAATCTTTTTTTTTTTTTTTTTTTATAAATTGTCTATAATGTTTAAAAAGGATGGTGCATGTCAGCCAGGAGTATCCTTTTGATTGCAGGTTGAAGCAATATTTCGCCAGAGAACTGGGCATCCTCTGGTGTAATATTAATAGGAGGTGAACCGAAACAGATACCAGGATAACTGAGCATCGTTATACAGTTTTTTATTGTTGGTAAGAGGTCCTGAAGTCCTTAATTATAATTTAAGTGACCCTATAGTCCCCAAAACAACTTGAGCTTAATGAAGCTGTTACGGTGTATAGCTCATGCCCCTGCAGTCTCACTGCTTAGTTATCTACCATTTAGGAGTTAAATCACTTTGTTTATAAAGCCATAGTCACACCTCCCTACATGTTTTATGCACAGTTTTCCTAAATACTTTCTGTAAAAAGAAATCTAATATTTATGTTTCCTTGATTGAACAGTCTGTTTAATTTAATATTTCTTATCTCCTGCACTGTTAATAATTTGCTAGACCTTGCATCTGGTTTGTGATGAAAGTTCTACAGAGCAGGAGATAAAAACTTCTAAAGCAAGTTAAGATCAGATTGCCATGTGGAGGTGTGGCTAGGGATGCATGAACAAAAACAAAAGTAATTGAACTCCCTAATGGCAGGGAATTGAGCAGTGAGACTTCAGAGGCATGATCTATACACGCAAACTGTGTGCTAACGTTGTTTTGATGCCTATAGTGTCCCTTTCACTCCTGACCCACAAAGATCAAATAGATGCACCAAGGAAACATGTACTCGGCAGCTTGTCCTATGAGATCCATCAAGTTATCAACAGACTGGTTCCATCCTTGAGTTTAGTTGAGATCTATTGGCCGAATACTGCCACTAGCCACAAAGACAAATTATGAAACTTGCCACTTATCACTGAGATTTATTTAGGATTTTCCTTAGGGTAGGGACTAGTGGGTCACACCTGGATGACCGTTTAGTCTTGTAAAGGTACTTCTTGAGTTTCATGCACATAAAGCCAGTTGTGATTTTTGGGCTATAAAAGATCTAAAAATAAAATGACACATGCATTTGTGTGAATAGCAGTCATAAAATCAGTCAGTTTGGTAACTATGTTGTATATAAGTGCCATACAATTAAAGTTTGCAGCATATTAAAGGCAATGCCATGATCAATACTATTTGTATTAAATATTTTGGTTACTGAGCGGGATTCCATTGTAAATGGCAGATAAAGTCTTACAGAAAGAGCTGTTGTGCAGTGAAGGTGTATGGTGCTCTTACAAGGAGGGAAGGATGATATTATCCAATAAGAAACATTCAATAAAATACTGCAGGAGAGTGCACTATAATACATATAGGCTTTTAATATATGGCTAAAATGTTAGGGAAACATATTGATAGGAACAGATGTTACTCTGCATCACACATGCTGCTTACTACTGCTCACTTCTAAGGTCTGCTACCGGCACAGGCTTAGGAACAACAGATGGAAATTAGGAGGCCACCTGGTTTCCAGTGGAATTGTGTTATCTTCCTGCGATAAATACAGCAGGATTCCAAACATAACACAGAATCATTTAAGACTGAAAATGCAGTCTGACATGCAAAGTACAGCTGTGGCTGAAATATGACAAACACAAATTGATTTGCATCTAGTTAAAAAAATAATTTGATTATATTTACTAGATTTGCCTTTTTCTAACCAGACATTTTGACTAGTTCCTATTTCTTTGAATGTAGAAGACATATATTAACATGAACCTTCGCAATCACTGCATTCTATGGCAAAATGCAAGCATCAGACTTCAGTTTAGCTTCATGCATGTGTTCACAGCAAGTGGAAGATTGTGCTCCCCTCCCCCTTTCCACCCCCTCCTGCATCTGCAGTGATTTTTTATTTAAATTAGTCCTCCCTCTCCACTCCCTCACACCTCCTTCCCTTCCCTCAATGGCTCAGAGTGCACATGTGCTCTGAGTTGGTGAAACAGTCCCTTTGATATATGAGAGGGGGCGTGGATGTCAGCACTGGGAGCTTCACCTGGTGCTGGAATCAAGGCAAGTAAAACTTTTTTCTTACAGGTTTCGATGGGGGGACCTTCCCAATAGTTCCCAATATGGCATTTTATACTGGAAAGGTCGGTACCCCCCCCCATAAGGGTTTGAGTAATTAATTATTGCAACACCTGGTCCAAGAACAGCTTTTTGTAGTAGACATGTGCACAAATGCATTTAAGGAAGTTTATGTGAATGAAAATCCTTTTATTCTACTGCCAAATTATTTGATTCATCCTGGGAAGAGGAGACACACAAAGGGACTGGGTGGAAAAGAGAGACAGACAAAGGGAGTTGGGGAGAGAAAAATACACATTGGGGGAGAAGGAGACACACAGAGGTGGGGAAAAAGAAACAAGGGGGAGAGACACACATATGTGGGGGAAGACACACAAAGGGGCTTGGGGTGAGAAAGAAACACATAGAAGAGCTGGGGAAAGAGAGAGATATACAAAGGGACTAGGAAAGGGGAACAATAGACACACAGAGGGTCTGGGAAAGGGAAACAAGAGACAAACAGAGGAACTAAGGAAGGGGATAAAGAGAAACACAGAGGGCTGGGGGCAGAGACACACAGAGGAGCTAGGGAAGAAGAGGCAGTGGCTGGGTCTAACAGACAACCAAAAGGGGAGTTGTAAGAGACACACAATGGATGGTTGTAAGAGACACACAAAGGGGAAAAATAAGGGATAGGATACACTATAGCAGGACAACCAACAGAGGAGAAGAGAATCCCAAAAGGGGGCAGGAAATTTAGAAGGGAGGTAAAGGAAAACACAAGTGAAAATGCGTTTTTTGTAGGGTGGCGGATATGCATATTTGCCGATGCCGGTAAACAACAACAACACATGACATATTACACCTTGTCATGATTTATTTAACAAAAATAAAGCCAAAATGGAGAAGCCATGTATGAAAAACTAAGTAGATATTATGATTCAGTAGCCTGTAGAACCACCTAGCAGGAGTAACTTGAAGTAATTATTTTTTGTATGACTTTATCAGTCTCTCACATCTTTGTGGAGGAATTTTGACACGCTCAAAGTTGCTTCAGTTCATTGAGTTTTGTTGCCATTTGTTTATGCACAGCCCTCTCAAGGACCCCCCACAGCATTTCAAACAGGTATTTGTACATTAATGTTTGTATTAGTAATATATATTATGTCTATAATAGTTACACATACATTTATATACATGTATATATCCATAATAATACACACAGACATTTCATTAAAATATAACACATAGAGTAGTGAGCACATATTAGCCTAATCGTGTTGCATCATTACCATCTTAACAACCTTATTGGCCCCCGGGCAAAGCAATGCAATGGGGCCCAGCCTGCACAACCACTCACCTGAATAAAAATGTGAATTATTGATAAAATTAAGCTTATACCTCCAACAAATGCAATTCATTCATTGTATGAGTGTATGCATTCATACAATACAAACACACAGACTTCTGAATACACCCACACAGACTGCCGAATACACACACACAGAATGATGAATACACACAGGCTGCTTTATACACAAACAGGCTGCTGAATACACACACATGCTGGTGAATACACATACAGACTGCTGAGTACACACACACAAACTGCTGAATGCATACACAGAGAATGCTGAATACAGACATAATGCTGAGTACACACACAGACTACTAAATGCTTACATAGACTGCTTAACACACACACACACAGTGTCAGGGTTCTTACCTGAGATGGGAGTCTGTAGCGCTGTTATGTATTGGGGTGTTATGCAGTCCACCTTCCAGTAGATGGCAGCATAGCAAAGTTATACACTTGTTCTGTTGTGTTAGTGTCTCTTGTGTTATGTCATTAGGTGTGTGTGCTGAAGTAAAGAGAGGTCCTATTTCACTACTTGTCTGTGAGCCATTTGTGAATATATAACATACAAATACTCTAAATTGTCGACGAGATGGGATGTCAGTAAATGGACACTTCAGAGAATATATATATAGAGGGAGAGAAAGAGAGAGATTTGAACCTATTGCACTCCTACTCAAAATAAATGATACCAGGTGCCAAGTCACAATAATATAAAAAATATCAAAAAATTGAATAAATTGGATGAACTAAACTCAAGAGTGCCGGTAATTTTTTGATATTTTATATATATATATATATATATATAAAGGAAATAAAATCAGCCTGTGTGAGGAAGTAAAACTTTTCTTTTGGATTTCTATTATCTACAAATATCTTCAGCATGCCTTCTCTGGGACACAGGGAGGAATTTGATCTGGCTAATCCAGCCTCATGGGACTCATATGCTGACAGGGTAGTGTTTTTCCTGGAAGCTTATAAGGTGGTTGATGCTATTCAGAGAGCTGTATTACTGAGTGTTATTGGATCTAAGACTTTTGATACTGTCCGCTCACTGATATCTCCTGCTAAACCACAAGACTGCTCATTTGAAGAAATACTGGCACTGTTAAAAAATCATTTAGCACCCACCCCATCTGAAACAGTGAGGCGTTTCCATTTCAATAGACAAAATCAGAAACCAGGTGAAAGAATTGCTGCATACATTGCAGAACTGCGCAGGCTGTCTGAAAATTGCAATTTTGGTACCAGTTTAGAATCCTTATTAAGAGATAGGCTTGTGTGTGGGGTGCAAGATTAAGCACTGCAGAGGAGACTTCTTGCAAGACAGAATTTAACTTTTATTATTGCACAAGAGGAAGCGCTCGCAAATGAGGCTGCTTATGTCCATTCAAAAGAGATACAATTCTCCTCCTGCAAAGAGAACTCACCTGAAATAAATCTAGTGAAGAAGACTGATGTTAAATCAAAGGACATTTCACCAGGCACTGATGTCACAGCTCCATTTAAAGGAACTTGTTATAGTTGCGGTGGAAAACACAGGCATAATACATGTGATTTTCGAAATGCAGTTTGCCACACATGTAAATGTACGGGTCATACACAGACAGTTTGCCAAAGACAAGCCAGTGGAATTCAAACCCAATATAAGAATGCAAACACAATATCAACTGCAGCACAGTCTTTTAATACTCCACATACCGTTTCAGATAGTGAAATGACTACAGGTGTTTACATGTGAATAAAGTGGAAAATTCACCATCAGGACTGAAGATTTACACTGAAATTGTGCTGCAAAAGTTCTGTGCAAAATGGAAGTAGATTCTGGGTGCGCATATTCTTTGATTTCAGAAGAGACATTTACATTGTTATGGCCTCATAATTCTCCTTCAACAGTACCTTGTGATATTCATCTGGTGGGCTACAACAAACGGGCTGTTAATGTTAAAGGGGCTTGTTTTAACCAGTAACCAGTACCAGTAAAATATGGTAAATTAAGAGGACACTTACATTTAATAATTACTGAGGGACAAAGAGCAAAGTTTGGTAGGTAGAGAGTGGTAGAGAGTGGTTTAAACCCTTAGAAATTTCATTAACTGGAGTTAATAATGTATCCACAGATATTCTTCAGAATGTGATTGATAAATTTAGTGCAGTTTTTGAAGAAGGTCTTGGCATGTTTAAAGGCCCTCCTGTTTCTTTTGTATTAGATTCAACAGTACCCCAATTCGTATGAAGCCTCACAGAACTGCATTAGCTCTCAGACCAAAAATAGATGTTGAGATTACAAGTCTTGACTGGAGTCTTGGAACCGCCACCTTCTTCCTGGAGCCGAATGGGGAATTAGCTCTGACAATCCCAGGCACTGGACGACACTCAGTCCTGGGAGCTCTGGAACCGAATGGGGAATTAGCTCTAGTCCTTACAAGGACTTTGCCCATTGAGTATCCTGCAAGCTGGAACAGCTGACACAGGAGCAAATCTTCTTTCCCTCGACACACAGGACGACACAGTTTTGGAGGAGAAGCTGGAATAGCTGTATGTAGGCACACTGACTTTTATACAAGTTTCCCAACAAGGCTGACACCCAGGTGGACCTTGTTGGGCACAGGTCACAAAGTATACAAGCCAATCAAAACAATGTAACAATGAATGACACTCTCACATACAGTACACAATCCCTCCCCTCTGCCTGTGATACAATTAAGGTAGATAATACAATAACTTAATTATCCCTAGACAGAAAAAACACATTTTTATAAAGTCTAATAAGTACCCCAAAAATACAATATATTCCCATAAACGTCACATGATAGCCCTGATCTGGGTGAACAAAATATCCAAAAATCACCCAGATCAGAACAGGGGTTCAGGAAATTCCTAAAAGTCTCTTTGGACCGACCGCACGCATGGTTTCATGCCCAAAACAGTTCCAGAGAATCAGGGGCTGGTCTAGTTTGTTAGTTTGCAAACGAACAAACTATTGAACGGAGTCAATAGTCTTACCCTGGAGCTTGTTCCCTTCATCCAGACGAATTATCTCACCGAACAGTGCCCTTCTAAGCTGAATAGAAACGAATGCAGGCGATGATGGAAGTTCAACGGTGTTCGGGAGTTTCTGTATCCGATTTCAGTTCCATGAGATTAATGCCCAAACATCGCTGCCTGCGTTCATGCGAACAAGATGGACACCACCTCGTGGTTGTTCAGAGGAATCATGGCCACCCAGACAAACAATTAGAACACTGCGGTGAGAAACGTTCCAAGTTGTAAATAGGTATTAACATGCTCCAGGGTGTTTGAAGTATATTAGCCAGTTCTATTGCAGGGGCCATAGTCACAGGGTAAAAGGCTAGCAAGTAGTCCCCTCCAAGAACTTGTGGCAAACTCACTTAAATAGGGGATTTTGGCACACACACAAAGGAGCTTTCCGAGCAAGACGTTTGCAGTTTGGAGTTTCCATTGCTCCTGGCATATTCCAGAATTTAATTGAGGACCTCTTATCTGGACTTGGACTTGTTGTGCCTTATTTTGATGATGTTCTTATTGGAGCAGATTCTATACAGTCATTGGCTGCATAGCTACAACTTGTTTTACAAGGTTTCTTGATGCTGGTCTAAAACTTTAAAAAAGAAAAAAGTGTGTTTTTGGTGTAAGCAGATACACGACGGCCGCCTTCCCTGCTCGCTCTGCAGATCGGGACTCACCCGATCGGCACACTCAGCAACTGTCTTAACCCAAACAAGGACTCCACAAACAGGTCCTTAGACGGCTGACACCTCAGTTGTTTTTTCATATATGGCATGTCACATGGCTCTAACAGCCCCCTCTTGTTCAATGGGAGTATTACTCTAAGCTGTCAGTCTCATGCATACAAACTGTTTCCCATGCCACTTGATGGATATATAAAGCATGCAGGCATTAAAGGAGACTGAGTGAACTACTGTACCCTGCACAGGGTCATACTATATTACTGTACCTAAATGTACAAATTAATGTGGGCGTCCTCTGGGTATTTTTTCATGGCACACCACCTGGGGTGACCTCCCAGATATGAATGCAAGGTCACTCACAGACCATTATCTATAATGTGGGTGTCCTCTGGTTTACCACGGCACACCACCCAGGGTGAACCCCGATCACATGCACGAGGGCTTACACCTCTCAACATGAGTATTGTCTCTGATTACTAACATACCGTGCATACAGCTCTGGTGTACAACTGTGGTGAACCCAAACTCACCACTACCATTGACACATACCAGACTGCTCAGTACAGGTGACCCCTATTTAGGCACCAGAGCCATATACTTCAAGCCTCCTTTTACATACGATTTACTAATCTGGGCGATCCCCAGTTGTACCAGGAGTCTGGCACCCTATGTACTGACCCTTCACCAATACCTCCACTGACTCTTCTTATCGCCCAACAGGACGAGAAAAATAGATCGAGTCATGGAAGACACTCAAACCATTTCAGGCAATGATAAATGCCGCAGTAGCGGCCTCCGTGGAAAAAGCTCTCGAGGGCTCTACCCCAAGGCCAGGACGACGCAAGTCCCTCGGAACTGATGGAAGCCTCGGGCTCTGAAGTCTCCAAGGCAAAGCTTCCACTAAAGCCAAAGGCAAGATACCCGTTAAACGGATTAAGTGCACGGAACAGCGGCAACCCACACCCCGACCACTACAATCCTCCGACGAGGAGGATTACTATGTACCACGTACCTTGGACATGGTAGACGAATGGCACGGGGACGGTTCACATTCAGATGAGGAAGAGTGGCAGGACCTACCCCCCACCTCCTCGAGATACGTCAGAGAGACCATTCTCGGCGACGACGACCGAGACAGAGAGAATGACCGTGGACGGAACATTTATGGATGAACAAGGGACCCCACTCTTCGATCCCCGTAACATCCGACACCCGTGATCCTCAGAGTGGAGCCTGCCGGACCATCTGACGCGGTTCGTATACTATTCGCTGCGTAAACCTCTGGAAAAAGAGGTACAGGCACGCCTCAAGGCTGAATGCCCCAGACCACTGCTACCTGACAAAGTGGCACTTACGCCCGAGTTTGACAACACTGTAGTGGTCTTTATGTCACGTTCAGGACGAGACCCTCAAAAGGGTGTGCAGAAAGGCATGAAGGCAGCACAAGACAAAGTGCTGGATTTACTCGGCCCCATCGCTAAGGTACTCTATTTCGCGGATCTAGCACTCAGCCAGGGCTCTCAACTCGACCCTAACATCATACGTGAATGGGCTTAAAGATCAGTATGCCTTCTGGGCAACGCAAATGCCGCATTGTGCACCGAAAGACGCAAGTCGGCACTGATCCGCATAGATAACAAGCTCCTGGATCTAGGAGCTAAGGAATTCGTCCCGAAAGCACAAGGACTGTTTGGCGATGCTTTCATTACAGAGCTTAAAAAGCATGTAAACCTATTCACCACCTTGAATAAGGCCCAAACCTCACTCAAGCAGGTTTTCCACATCCCCGCATGAAGAGGTGGTTTTGGGAGGTCTGGTCAGCAGCGGAACCGAGCCACCAGCCGCTTTTGGACGACAAGTTCCAGATCGTACCCACAAGCTCCAAGCTTCTTCCCATC